GGCCCACCGTGGGGTGACGCCCGGAGGATTTGGGGATGGCTTTGCTTAAAGTCGTCAAGGCAAAAGCGGGTATTTTTCTGGGTGGGGTTGGGTTTGGTTGGGTTTTTCCCCACGCCCGGCCACCAGGGTCTCCCGTGGGATTGTAGTCCCCACCCCATCCCAGCACCCCGACCCACCAAACCAGCAGCCAAACCCCTCCAAGGCTTTTCTTTCCTGCGCCGGGGCAGGGTTTTGCCAATCCCTGAGCCAATTAATGATATTAACGCTGATTTTTTGTTGTTTTTTTTTTTTTTACGCGGGAAATAATACGAAATAATATCGACGGGCGGCTCGTGGCTGGAGGCGGCGAAGTTTGTTCCCATTTATCAGGCTGGGAAGCAAGAGCTAGTGGGAACCTGGAAGGCAAAAGACCAACGATATTCATTGATAAAACACCCGTTGAGCCGACGGCTCCGGCATTGCCAAGGCTAATCGAGCGACCGCATCAATATTTGAAGAGCATCCTCGCTTCATCCCTCAGCCCACGCAGGATGGGGTTTCCTTGCGAGGTAACGGGGCACCGAGTTTCACCCGCGGTGACGAGCAGGCCCGCCGTAACTAGGTTTTAATTGCCACTGGCTCTCGTAGACAAGCCCGGGATAATTATTGGGGCTGCAGCACAGCGGGGGGGGAGCTGGGATTTGCTCGAAGGATACTGGGACCCTTGGGTTTCTTGGGTTCCCCTGCCAGCTTTACGGCCTCTGAGAACAATAAACGGCGTTCAGTAAAACTCCAGCGATACTAATGCAGCCCAAATGTCTATTTTTACCGTGCCCCCAAACCAGAATATTTCAAAGAGGCTGCGAAGCTTCGTTTCCCAGGATCTTCGCAGCCCCCGGCTCCCGATGGGCTCGTTTGCGGGGACGGACTCCAACCCGGAGCATCCCCCCGCGGCCCGGGGCAGCGCCAAGAGGAGCCTAAAAGCCCTTGCAGAGGTGCCAAGGCGGCGTCGGGGAGCTGCT